TGGATGCTTGCTAGGGGCAGGTTTCCCCTGTCCTTCCTGTGCCTCTCTGGCCCACAGGGAAGGTGACCTGCATGACTACACTGAGTGATCGGCTCAGACCTCTGAGAGCAAGGGGACTCATGCATCAAGTATCCCAGGGTCAGAAGGCTTCACCAGGCACACTTCCAGCTGCCCACCCCTCCCAGGGCTACAGCCCCATGGTGGCCATGCTCCCACCTCAGGGATCCTCCAGGGAAGTCCCAGGCAGCAGCTCTGACTGTTACCTCTCCCCATAACCCTCTGCAGGTTTGTGCTGCTCTAGACATTGGGGCTCCAGGATGCCCGAGAGCGGGAACCACTTACGCAGTTTCCTGTGATTTTCCATGGCACTTAGCCCTGCGCCAGCTTGCTGAGGTCAGTGGGTATGTGTCTGTCCTGAGTAGGGCTGCCAACAGCCCCTCCCCCACAGGCCTCTCAGACCAGTGTCCATATTCTCTCCTGTCCAACCAGGAACATCTTTGAAACTGATGGGGAGCACTATCATAATCACATTGGTCAACAGGCACAAAACAGGACTGTCCTAGGTGAACAGGGATGTGCCATCACTATGCATGCTCAGCTGAGTATAAGCATGAAAGCCAAGGTTGGGGGGCTGCAGGTGAGGGGTGATGGGTGTTTATGTGTCCACAGGCATCTTTGCAATCAGTAGCAACCTTTGCTGCCTGGAATCACTATTGAACTCTTGATGTCTCATGTTCATTGAGGGACCCTCTGCCTGTCTCAGGGGAATGCGTGCTCTGCAGTTGCTCCTCAGGTGGGGCAGCCCGAAATGAGGGAGATGATTCCCCAGTCTCTTTGAGCCCTTCAGGATTTTAGGTGTCTGGCATCTGTGTCCCCAGGGTTTCAGGACACCCACAGATGGTGCTCTTTCTCTCTGATGTTTCTGTAGCCTGACCCACAGCATTAGATGATCAGTCCATGGCCCACTGAGCCAGTGTCCCTCTATGACTCTGGACCATTTTCTTGTTACCCCCCAGGGCTATTGGTGGCTGTTGTTAAAGGACTGTCTCTGCTGTGGTTTTGGCTGCTGCTTCTACTTAGCTTTGTGTGTGCAGGTGTGAGTGGGGACTGTTAGGCTGCCCTGGGTAGTATCTTTATGGGTCTCTTAATTTCTATGGCCTATGGCTTTTGTGGACACACACTGATATTTCCCAATCCCTCCATTTCTGGTGCTCATTTCACCTAGTGTGGCCATTAGGATCTGCGAGGAGGGAGGTGCTGCCTGTATGGCCATCTTGCCCAGCTACCTTTATTTATTTATTTATTGTACCATGGATTAAACACAGGGTCACTTAACATCTGAGTCATATCCCCAGCTCTTTTTTAAATTTTTTGAGACATGGCCTCACTAAGTTTCTCAGGGCCTTGTTAAATCGCTAAGGCTGGCTTTGAACTTGTGATCCTCTTGCCTCACCCTCCTGAGCTACTAGGATTACAGGCATGTGCCACCACACCTGGCCCAGCTGCCTCTCTCTCTGCTTTTTCTGGCTCTTTCAAAGCAGGTGTTCCCTGAAGCTCCACCGAAACCCTTCTCTTTTCTCTTCTCCCTCCATCCTTTCCTACACACCATGCTCCTGTGAGCACCCCCATCCTTGACCCCATAACCAAGTTCCCCTCATCCTCCCCTCCCCACCATATACCTGGCACCTTCATGCCAAGATCTGCCTGCCCCTTAGAGGCCAGATTCCCTTCAAAGCGTTGCTGCTCAGAATGTTCGGGCTCTTCCAAAGGGACCTCCCCCATCCCAGGCCTGGGGGGTGTTAGGACTTCCAGTCTAATTTCCTGCCTACACAGCCTCCAAGCCATTCCTGGTCCCTTAGCAGCCTCTGCCCTTATATTAGCTCTTCAAGTCACATGGGGAAGATTGGAATATTCTGTTTCCTTGCTTGTCCTCTGTTCTCTTGCCTCATTTATTGTCAATACCACTCCATTCAGCTCTACCAGCATCCCTTAGCTCTTGTGTGTATGTCTTAAACATACAGCTCTATGACTTTACATATGCATACACCCATGCAAATCTCTGCCCAGAACAAGATACAGAGCTTCTGAAGGGACCCCATGCCACTTGTGAGGAGCAGCAGAGACTGAGGAATTGAGAAAGAGCAGTGGATCCTAGGAAGGGGCAAAGGCCCTGGAAATTTAGGGGTGATTTCCTAGAAGAGGGAAACATGTGATCCGGACCTCAAAAAACAATAGTAGCCCTTTGCAGTGCTTATTGTAACTGCAAAAACCAAGAAAAACTGCACATTCAGCAGGATACTGGATCAACACACCTGGAAGACACTCAAATGTATTGTTGTGACAATGGCCCAGCATGGCATAAATTTCAAGGACATAATATTGGGTTAAAAAAGGTAAACTGAAGAATGATATGCACAGCAGGTGCCATTGATATAAATTCTAAAGACACACAAAGCAATGCTATACTTTGTTATGTATACAGATGCTTGTGCTAAGAGTATAAACAAATACATGGGAGTGACAAATGCCAGATTTGCCTCTGGGGAGGCAGGGAGAGAGAGAGGAAGGCGGGGAGGAGGGCACTGGGTTGCAGCTGGGTTCTATTTTTTTTTTGAAAGGAGCAAGAGGAAGGGATCTAAGGCAAATATGGCAAAATGTTAATATGTGTTCAAAATGGGTGGTTATAGTACATAGGTGCTTGTTATATAATTTTCTACTCATTTGTGTTTTATTCTGTAATTAAAATTTTAAAAGAAGTTAAGAAAATATAAAAAGGGAGGTGGCTTCCCTCCAGGGAACCTGTGTGAATCAAGGTGCAGGGGGAGAATGAGGGTGCTTATGGACAAGATGCAGGGGGGCAAGGCCAGCACAGGGGTGTGGGGATGGAGCTCAGAGAGTTCTAAATCCTGGGTGGCTGAGTAGGTGTCTAAGGTGGGGGGCACACCCATTCTCTCATGACTGCTTATATGTCTTCTCCTCTAGGTGTGTTGCTTTCAAGACATTCCTTGCCCCTGTGCTCACAACAGAGTTTGGATTTTCTTCCCAGGGTAGTGGGAAAACTCTTTGGGACAGATGACTTCAAGTGGGGGCTTTACTCATGTCTTACTCTGAGTTAGCATCAGCATATCCAGCGCTTGCTATGTGCCACAATTATATTCATGAAATATTATTCTCACCATAGCACTCTAGGCTGGCATTATTATCATCACCACCATCCCTATTTATAGATGAAGAAACAGAGGCACAGAGTGGGTAAGGGACTTGCCTGAAGTTCCACAGAGGCAGAGCTGGGATTTGAACCTAGGCTGTTTGGTGTCAGAGCCTGTGACCACAATGTGGCACTCTATTTTCCCTCATATGCCAGGTGCTGTGCTGGCCACTGTGGATTCATGATGAGACAGTTATGGGACCTTGCCATCACAGAGCTTCAGAGCCAGTGGGGAAGTCAAACATCAAATCAAGCAACACACACATATGTAACTATAACTGATGATTCAGTGAAGACAGAGAACCTTATCCTTTGAAAGAGAAAATAGGGAGGACAACTGAGACTTATAACTCTAAGAAAAGGGGACATTTAAGTGAAGATCTAAAGGATGAAGAGTTAGCCAGGAGAGGCTGCTGGTGGGCGGGTGTGTGTGTGTGTGTGTGTGTGTGTGTGTGTAAGCTGTCCAGATAGAGGGAAGAGCAAGTGCAAAGGTCTAGAGTCAGGTATGGGTTTGGTAAAGGAACCAGACAGGATCAGAGTGGTGAAATATGCAGGGGGCAGGTAGAGGGAGGGAACAGGGGTAAGGTACAGGGAGGTAGCCCCTTCCTTGGGACCTCCCTTTCTGGAGGGGAATTACATGTCTGGGATTGCCCTAGTTCATGCCAGTGGTTCTAGTGTAAACACTCATAGTGTCCCATTTTGGCTTGAACAATAAAAATTTGAAGGTTACCTTCTCCAGGCCATGGTAGAGTTTGGATTTTCTTCCCAGGGCAGTGAGAAAACATTGAGGGATTTAGTAGGAGAGTGACACATCTAATTCATAATGTATAAAGGTCACTGTGGCTGCTGTGGGGAGAGGGCCTGCAGTGGAGCAGGGGGGGAGGCATTGTTTCTTCCTCGACTCAGTCTCACAAGGTAAGAAGGGGGCAGGTCAGGGGCACTGGGGGGGGGGTGGGCTCTGCTTGAGCAGGCTGAGGCTGCAGCTGCATGGGAAATGATTCCAAGCAAATGTCCCCACAGATGCTGTCTCCTTCTCCTCCCCATGCTGGTCCAGTCCCTAGTCCCTGCTGAAAGAGGTCTCAAGGAGTGAAAGGAAGCCCCTGAGAACATTGCCCATATCCCAGGGCAACTTGTGAAGGAATTAGGAAAGTTCCCTGACTTCATAAATTTCAGAAATGACGATAAACAATACTAATTGTCCATTTTGTAATTTGCCCTGTTTTTTCCCCCTTCTTACCCCACACAATCCTCTCCTGCAACTCCTTCAAAAAGAGCCTTCAGACATAAAAGCTCAGGATACACTCACAGATACCACTGAGGCCAGCTTCCAAACTGAAGGAGTGCTGAAGGAAGCAGGTGGCTTCTAGAGTATGGTGATGCACAAGTGGATGGGCCAGGGCCTGCTTCTCATGAATGAATGAACACATGAGGACCTACCCACTCTGTGCCTCTAGTTCGGGATGGCAGGTATTGTAGGGGTCTCATACACAGCTGACTACACAGTATGGGCGATATCTACAAGGATTTCTCATGGTCATGGGGGGCTGGAAACAAGACCGGATTTGTAATAGCAACGAACAGGAGAAGAACAAAGAGCTGGAACCTTGTGAAACGAAACCTGCTTCTCATTTCCCCTATACAAAGTAAGAGATCAGGAAAGTCGCTAAATCAACCCTACAGGGTTAGGATGGAACCCTAAGGAGGAGGTGGAGGATCATCCATGTCTGCCAGGAAGCCATAGCCATAGGCTTGGAAAGGAAATGAAGGGGCTAGTGGGAGAGGGGTCGCTTACCCAGCGGCAGGACGAAGAAGAAGGGGAACCAGCAGAGCACGAAGACGCCCACGACGATGGCCAGCGTCTTGGCTGCCTTCTTCTCACGGGAGAACTTGAGCAGGCGAACAGATAGCGAGCTGCGGAAGGTGTGGCCCTTGGTACTCCGAGTCCCATGCGTCCCGTCTGCGCCGGCGGCTGCACCACGACAGTGGATACGCAGCACCACCTCGGAGGCCTTGCCCCGCTCACGCTTGACGCCCGCCTCGAGGCTGCGCGTGGTGCTGCGTGCGACCACGTACACGCGGCAGTACATGACCACAATGACTGCCATGGGCAGATAGAAGGAGCACACCGAAGAGAAGACAGCATAGCCCGCCTCCTCCGTGATGCCGCAAAAGCGCTCGTCCGGGGGCACCGGCTCCTTCCAGCCCAGCAGAGGCCCCACGGACACGACGAGGGCTACGGCCCAGAGCAGCGCCAGGATGGCCGCCGCCTTGCGCTCTGTCATGATCGCAGGGTACTTGAGTGAGTGGCGCACGCCCACGTACCGATCCACCGAGATGGTGCAGAGGCTAAGGATGGAGGCCGTGCAGCACAGCACGTCCACCGCGGCCCACACGTCGCAGAAGGCCCGGCCGAAGGCCCAGAAGCCCAGAACCTCCATGGTGGCGGAGAAGGGCAGAACGGTGGCGCTCAGCAGCAGGTCGGCTACAGCTAGGTTCACTATGAAATAGTTGGTGACCGTCTGCAGATGGCGGTTGCAGGCCACCGAGAGGATGACAAGCAGATTGCCCGCTACAGCGGTGAGGATGAAGGCTGCCAGAAAGACACCCACCCCCACCCCCTGCGCACTCACAACAAGCCCCCCGACGGCCGCTGTGCCGTTCACCTCGCTACCCGCGCCCGCGCCCCCCGGCTCCCCAGCGGAGCTCTGGTTGTCCTCGCCGCCGCCCGCTCCCACCACGCCGCTGCCGCCGCCCGTGGCCCCCGAAACGCTGCCCACCGCTGGGGCCTCCGAGGCAGTCGCGCCGCCTGTGCTGCCCCCGCCGCCGCTCGCACTGGAGCCCCCGGAGCTGCTGTCCGGGCGGGGTCCCTCGAAAGTGACGCTAAGGAGGTCTCGGAAAGTCATCTCAACGCGCAGCCGTCGGGGGCCGAGCCGGGATGCAGGACCAACAACTGACAGGGAGGGGGCAGGAGGGCATAGCCGCAGGGCTTCGGGTTCAGCCCCGCGCGCGAGTCCCGTCCGGGTCCAGCCCAAGTTCCTGTGATGCGTAGCGTGGCAGCTGGGGAGCGGAATGCCAGGTCGGGAGGCGGCTGGGGCTCCCCGAGGCCACCCGTGGAGTCGGATCGAAGAAGAGTCAGGGCTGGTGACTCGCGCTGCTCTCTGAGCGTGCCCAGGCGATCCGGCAAAGCAGCGGCTCCGGGACCCGGTGGTGCAGGCAGTGGCCACTGCGGCGCTCCCAACTCCGTGCGGGGGGCGGGACGGAGGAGGGGCAGCGAGTGGAGGGAGGAGGGGGCGGCCGGAGCCGAGAGAGGGGGCGCCGCGCTCCCTGGAAGAAGGGGCTCTGATCTCTGGGAGACCGCGTGTGTGAAGGTCCGGAGGGGTTGCGGTGCTGACGCGCTCTCCGACTCCTAAGCCACCTACGCTTCGCCGCTGGTGCCAGGACTGCTCTCTTCCCTCGCTGTTCCCTTCGAGCGCTCTCCCGCTCCTCTTCTGGATCCCCTCTCCCGTGGTTCTCACTCCTCAGCCGCGTCCCTCTTCTTCGCTTCCCCTTTCCAGCCTCCGGGTCACTCACTGGTTGCCCTTGGGCGTGCGGAGCTTAGAAGGCGCGATTTCTCTGTCCCCAGACTCCCGACTCCGGCCGCCAGAGAGCAGCAAGCGCCCGGGATCTGCGGACTGCGGACTGGACGGTGCAGTGTAGCGGCGGTCGCCTCCTGAGACTGCCTGGATCAATCTGCCGCACTTGTTTTTTTTTTTTTATTTCAGGCCATAGGCTAGAGGAGGGTCTCAAACCCTTCTGCCAAGTACGAAGGCGTGGAGAGAGCCCTGGAAGGGGCCAGAAGCCTGGTATAAGCTGAGGCTCTAGCTGGGTATGATGGGCGCCCGTGGAACAGACTGTGTGGCTATAGCCCTGAGACCCTGCCCACGACAGTGATCTATGTAACACCAACTTTCGCACTGTTAGTTTACTCTACATCAAAAGTCAGAATAAATCTTTCTATTGCTACTCCAAATAAGCGGCCTGGTGCTGGGGAGGGAGAGCACAAGTGCTGGAGGGTGGGAAAGGTCACTTGGCAGGATGGATGGGGGTGGAGGAGGGAAGAGAGAAGTCTGGCTCCAAATACCCAGGCTCCTCCCTTATTAGCTGTTGGATCTCTTTGTACCTACCTCAGTTTCTCATCTGTAAAATGAGAGTCAAGGGTAGCGTCTACCTAGTGCCTTGGTTTCTTAGTTGAGTGGGACTTAGAATGTCAGGACCTGAACAGGGAGGACAGGGGGCAGAAGAGATGTGGCACTGGTATGAAGCACAGACACTGGTGGAGGTTAGAGTAGGAGGAGCCTCTTACTGACCAGCAGATCTGGCAGGGAGAGACACAAGACAATCATTCATTAAGCCAACATAAAATACTTAAGTGGCTGCTGAATTAGAGGAATTAGAGTCAGTAGGGAGCATAAAGCCACCTCTTAGGTGCAAGATGAAGATGATTTAACACTTGCCAGGGGACTTTTTAGAGAGAAGGCTGGGAGGAGATGGGTCTTGGCATCTGCTGCCTGTGGCTAACAGGCAAGTTGTCTGAAAGTCCTAGATGAGAAGCTGCTTTGAAGAAAAAGCAGGAAATGGGAGAATTGTTGAAATATGGGTAAGCCCCTCCTCCAGCCTAGGAAGCCAAGGCTGTAATAATCATAACTTAGAAACAGCTCTTCAAGGCCCACAGTTACCCCATTAAATCATCCATGTTTTACTTGGGTCTTTGGGAAATTACCATTGTGGGTTGAAATGAAAGCAATGTGACTTTTAAGGGTTAGCTGGCAGCTGACCAAAAACAAAACCCTGAATCTGGGCTTCCTCTCTGAAAGGGAAGGACACTGAAAGGGGATGCCAGGAGCTCCTCAGTTGGGAGTGAGGGGAGGCAGTCCTAGTGTCCACAACTGGCTGCCTTCTCATAATGTGGGACAGGTGTAACCCCAATGGAGTCCATTTGGTTCTAGGTCTGGTGAGTTTTCAAAGAAGACTAAGGGTTAGGAGAATGGGGCTGGAGCACTAGGGGATTTCTTCACTGGTGTCACAGAGATTTGTGCTTGATTCTGTCTAGAGAGCCAGCAGAAGGCTGGAGGTGTCTTTGCCAGCAACATGAGAAGGAGAGGTGGGGTAGGGTGCCTGGAAGAAGATGGGGCAGCCTCACTCCTTTTAGAATTTGGTGGTCCTGAGAAGGTCTGCAAGAGGATGTTTTAGAGATCTTTGGGAAGGAACATGGAAAGGCAGGAGCTGTGAAATCATCTGTCAGTTTCCTGTGCCAGCTTATCAGATGCTCAAATCTGGGAAGGGTCTAGACACAAGTACTCCTGGCAGGGGCAAAGAGAGAAGGAGTTGTCTCTATCTGAAGAGAGGTTTTAACAGTGGAGAGACTGGGATAAAGCTCAATACTGCTCCAAGCACACCATCCACACCCACAATTTTGCCTGGATACATCATGGGCACCTCAAATTAGAGGTATTAACAAAACTAAATTAAACTAAACTCACCATCTTGGACACTCAAATTTTCAACTTGCTGTAATCCCTTATGAAAATGGAACCACCATCCAGGCAGTTATAGCTAGACACCTAAATTCATCCTCTGGTTCACCCTCTACTCCAAAACTAGCCAGTCTACAAGTTCTACTGATTGGTTTTGCCACTTAACTTTGTGAATCCATCTCTTCTCTCTGTAGTCTCTACTTTGGGTCAAGTCTAAAATTTCTCATTCTAATTTTCATTTCTACTTCAACAATGCCTCTACCCGGTCTGTTTTTATATGGATCTTTCTTTCTTTGAATTTTTAAAAATTTATTTATTCTAATTAGTTATATATGACAGCAGAATGCAATTCAATTCATATTACACAAATAGAGCCCAATTTTTCATGTCTCTGGTTGAAGACAAAGTAGAGTCCCACCATTTGTGTTTTCATACTTAGGGTAATGATGTCTGTCTCATTCCACTGTCTTTCCTACACCCCATACTCCTCCTCCCCTTTGCCCTAACTAAAGTTCATCTATTCCTCCCATGCTCCCCCACCCATCCCCATTGTGAATCAGCATCCTTATATCAGAAAAGACATTAAGCCTTTGTTTTTTGGGGATTGGCTTATTCACTTAGCATCATATTCTTCATCTCCATCCATTTACCTGCAAATGCCATGATTTTATTCTCTTTTAATGCTAAATAACATTCCATTGTGTATATATACCACATTTTCTATATCCATTCATCTACTGAAGGGTATCTTGATTGTATCTGTGGATCTTTCTAAATATGATCATTTTCCTCTTTTCTTTCTTCTCTGTTATCGGGGAATGGTGGTGTGTGAAGTGATTAGTTTAGAGGGGATGCCAGGGATTATGAGTGGTTATTTCTTTGCAAGGATGCTGCTCTGAGACTAGTCCACAAAGTACCCTAGTATTTATTTCAGCTACAAATGAATGAATGTGAATGAATCTCACATGAGATTTATGTTCTAGAATAGACATTGTCTAGAGAGACATCCTGTCCTCAAAATGGCTAGAACTTAGGGTCTGGGAACTCAGATTCTCAGGTACATCCCCAGGATTTCTATTTGTTTCCCTCTAACTGTCCCCTTTCAACCATCTCCAAAGCTTCCTAGGGAAAGTAGACTTCAGGGAGAGTTTAAGTGCACTTTGGATAAATAATTGATCTATTCTATTTTTCGTTCTTCCTCAATTTGACTTGGCCTGTGGAAGTGTGGCCATCCTTAAAAGAAATGTTGGAGGGCTTTCTGAAAGTGTCATGCATGTGACCCATCAATGCTCTCAGCTGAAGAAGACTTATGGTTGGGTTTATTCCTTTGGTTAAACTATTTGTCACAGATAGTAGAAGAATGAGCAAGACCAGTGGTGGTCTCAATTGTGATGCAATATGAAACACACCCCCATCCACTGAACTCTTTCAATTAGAGTTGAACCCTTGGCAGGCAAAGTGTGACTTCTAACTGAAGAGCCTTCCTAGGGCAACAAGGAAGTCTTTAGCAGTTTTGTAGGAACTCTTACCTGGGAACCATGCAGTGGCATTCAGGCTCTGTACTTTCTCATTCTATGGCCTTTGGCAAATCTCTGGGCCCAGTTGTTTACTTTATAATACAGGGCAAATGGGATTGAACTAGAACAAAGATTAAAGCACAAGATATCTCTCTCTCTCTCTCTCTCTCTCTTTTGTACCAGGAATTGAACCTAGTGGTGTTTTACCACTGAGCTACATCCCCAGCCCTTTTTTATATATATTTTATTTAGACACAGGGTATTGTTGAGTTCATAGGGCCTTGCTAAGATGTTGGGGCTGGCTTTGAACTTGTGATCCTCCTGCTTCAGCTTCCCAAAATGCTGGGATTACAGGTGTACCCCACTTTGCCCAGCAAAGCACAGGAACTCTTGCTTCAAGTAAAGTCTTCACAGAAACCCACATAGTTGCAGTGCCCAAAATAGTTCCTGGCATATAGATGATGTTTAGTTGAATTTGCCCAGAATGGTGACAGGGCACTAGAACTTGACCAGCTGGTGCCCACAAGCAGAATATATCAGTCACAATCACCTTCTCCACATACATACTGTCTCCCACTTAGCATCTTGACTCCAATGTTGCCAATCAATCTGCAGCATCTTCACAAAAGAAGGGTTGGTCCAGGATGCCTCAGATCTACTCTTTAGGGGCTAGAGTCCAGAGCTGGTCAAACTAAAGTTAACTTCTCACTTGAGAGACAAGCCATTCCTTTTTCTTTACTATCACTCTAAAGAGGTCCCATAAGAGAGGAATGATAAATATAGGTGCTCAGTCTTCCATCTTAAACTGGGAGTCATGCCACTGAAACACAAAGAACCCAAAGGCCAGCGAGTTCTTCAGAACTCATTGTTCCAGCAACTTTCCCACAGGACTCCTGGCACTGGGGATATAATGTTGTATGAAGCAAAGTTTCTGCCATCCTAAGACTTGCATGCAAATGGCGGAAAATGCTACCAAGGAGAGTTAGGAGGAGAGTTTTCCCATTTCCATGGACAAAAAGTTTCTCTGGGCTTGACTTCTAGATCCTAGAGATTATTTCCCCTAATGAAATCTTCAAAAAAAATCCAATTTCAAAGGAACTCTTTTCTAAGACTTTTCCACCTCAGAATGGCAGTGGGGAGATGAGCACCAAATCTGAAAGGGTGCAAAGATCTTTCCTCTTTATGGGACCTCTTTAGAGTGATAGTAAATAAAAAGGAATGGCTTGTCTCACAAGTGAGAAGTTAACTTTAGTTTGACCAACTCTGGACTCTAGCCCTTAAAGAGCAGATCTGAGGCATCCTAGACCAATGCATAGCATTGGAAGTCTTGGCTAAAGTTGCCATTTCCTGGAATCAGTTTCTGTGAAGAACATGGACATTTATTCTATTCTTCAGCTGCAAATTGATATTTAGCCCTGGCCTGAACTTAAACCTTACCATGGTCTGATCTTAATTCTGGTTATATCTTGACTCATAACCTTGACTTACTTATAACCTAAGATTTTTTTGATTCCCTAAATTGTGTCATTCTTCTCCATACACATACTATGATTGACAAGGGCACTGGATGAAAGGGTTGGGACTAAGTACCACCTTCTCCACCTTCAGAATAGCAGAGTTCGGTACACAGGACTGGTGGCTTCTCATTGGAATGGGTTAGGGAATATTTGGATGAAGAACATTGTCTCTGCAGGAAGGAGATGCTGGGTAATCCATTCCCCAACCTCATCCCTATTCTCAGCAGAAGCTGGATGAACTGGATTGATTGTTTATTCTAATGTTTGTTTAAACTTAATGGAGTTGGAAATTAGTGACTGCATCTCCTATTATAGTGGAAATGATGAGGGCAGTGGTGGAATGATATTCCCATTCAAAGCCTGGCAAGAAGCCCACTGTTCTGAGGACCCTTTGGGAGGGGCTCTTTGCTTT